TAAATGAGGTTTAATAGACTCCAGGAAAGAAGACTCGCAACTCCAGGCAAAAAGCTTAACTGTCGCTTCTTCAAGAAGTGGTCATGGGGACTTCTTAATTAGCAATTTTTTTTATAGTTTTTTCGTTTGTTTGTTTGCTTTTGTTTGTTAGGTGATGCTCCAGTTTCAGACAGCCGCAGAACAAGTACAGATATAAACAGTTGCGAACATTCGCAAAACACATGCAATCAGGAAAATAGTGCAAGTTCTGGTCGAAACGGGCACATGTTAAAAGGAGCAGCTAAACAGATTGCACATTTAAAAAAATGATCCAAGAGGCTAAAACACTTGCAATTGCTTTGATAAATTCCCCCCAATGTGTGCTTAAGCTGATAACACACAAATAGTTCTAATGTCTCGTGTCTTTATTGAACACACCCATTAGGCCAGGGGTAGCCAAACTCCGGCCCTCCAGCTGTGGTGAAACTACAAATCCCATGATGCATGTCTCCCCAGGAGTCATGTCTGTGGCTGTCAATGCCTCATGGGATTTGTAGTTCCACCACAGCTAGAGGGCCGGAGTTTGGCTACCCCTGCATTAGGCATTCACAGTCCTGGAGGAAAAAATAGGCGTACGCTTGGCATTAATAGCTGGTCGCACCTGCTTTGGCAGGAGTGACTTCAAGCAAGTGCTTTTGGAAGCTCTGGATCAGACCTGCACAACGTTCAGGAGGAATTTTTGACTGTTCCTCTTTACAAGACTGCTCCAGCTCAGACACATTTGTAGGATGTCTGGTGTGAACGGCTTTCTTGAGGTCATTCCACAGCATCTCTTTGGGGCTAAGGTCTGTGCTCTGACTGGGCTACTCCAAAAGGCGCATTTTTTTTCTGAAGCCAGTCGGTGGTGGATTTACTTTGATGCTTAGGGTCATTGTACTGCTGCATCACCCAACAACTACTAAGCTTCAGCTGGCGGACATCCACCTTGACATTATCCTGTAGGATATTATGGTAAACTTGGGAATTCATTTCCCCCTGAATGATGGCAAGTGATGCAGGTCCTGAGGCAGCGAAGCCAGCCCAAATCATGATATGTTTTT